TAACAACAACAATAAAATAAAATACAGTAATATAAAATAAAATACAATAAAATAAAGAAAAAACACCCAAAAAAAACCCACAACTCAACAGGCAACCACAGATTTTTTTGGGAAATCTGTACCAGGGTGTCCCCACCCTCCCAGGGAAGAATTCCTTCCTTATATCCCACCTGGCCCTGCCCTCTGTGACCCTAAAGCCGTTCCCTTTTTGTCCTGCCACTACAAACTCCTCCAAAAAGTCCCTCTGACCTGGCTAAGCCAGAGAAATAAACAACTCCCATTTCATTTCTCCGCCAAAAAATTACTCTGTGTGTTTTTTAAAAAGCCTTTTGTCTCTAAAAGCTTTTCCTAATGATGAAATTACAGCACAGCAAGAGATCTGTCAGTTAGGATTCCTGTTTTTAACACCTCTTAGGAGTTAGGAAAAAATCAGAAAATCCTCTTAGGAGTTAGAAAGCGGCTCCTGACTCACCCTCAGGGCAAGGGTAAGAACAGGGGTGCTGCTCTGCCTCCAGAAGAAAAGGCACTAAATTATTCCCCTATTAAAAATTACTGCTCTCCTATTAAAAATTACCCCACTGAGCTCCCAAACTGGATTCCTACTGCTCTAAATCCCATTTTCCCACTGGTTTTCAACCAAGAAAACCAATGTTTAGCTGCAGCTCCAAGCGCAGATGGAAAGGAAGCTCTTGGCTGATACCAAAGGAATGTTTAAGAAGCCACTCCTTGGAGTAGTCCCTGAAGAAGAATAATCAGAGGAGAATTAGTGCACACAATGGAAAGAATGAGGGTTTGAACCTCACCCAAAGGGTGGCAGAACAGACACACTCTACTGCTGGGGGAATGGAGCAGGGAAACCACAAGGAGAAAGAATTTTTATCCAGTTCTGGACAGATCATGTGTTTAGGATGGTTCAGTTCCTCACTGAAACTCTCCTCCTGCAGCATCACATCCCAAACTGGAAGAGCAAAGCCTCACACAGCATGTTATTGTACAGAAAATTAAACAAATGGGAATGCCTGGATCCTCCACATCCATCCTTTCATGCTTCTGGAAGTTACTGATTGTGCTTTACAAGCAAAGCTCTGGAAATACCAAATATTTAAAAGCAGACAGAAAGGAATTCCTCTTGTAGGATCTGTCCCACGGATTCCTGATGAATCATTTGGATCCCACACAGCTGTCACTGTTTCAGTCATGAGAGCCCAAGCATCACAAGCTACAGCTTTATTTTTAGCTGTGTTCATTAGCTGTCATTTTTTTAATCATCACAGAATTAACAGAATTCTGTGTTCCTGTGAGGACGTGTGGGGCTGTAACCTGAGAACCAACACTGTCAGTGATGGGAAATGACCTCTGAGCTTTGCCCTGAGGAAAGAATCAGTGGCTGGAATTAATTAAATCAGCTGATGACACAGCTCCCTGTCTATAAAAACACACCTCAAACACCACCTCTCCCAAATTTCACTGCTGGGGGATGCTGTCACATCAATGAGGCTGACCCTGTCACGTCCCTGCTCGCTTTCCCACCAACCTGAATAAAAACAGCAGCTACAAAAGCACTTCCAAGGGTTGAGTATTAATGCCAGGGCACAGCTGGACATCCTGCATCTTAAAATCAGCATTATGGCTGCAGGAGGAAAGCAGAGTAAAGGCAGGGCCATCCCTTCGTGGGCCAGGGAATGAAAGGGGCAGAGCAGTAAATTCAACTGTAAGCAAAGCTCAGAGGGGAATGTCACCCTCCCACAGCTCCTCCTGCACCTTTTCCAAGCAGCAAAGAACACAGGGCTTTAATTCCACGACCCAGCTCCATCCCAACCCTCAGCCACTGCATCTTTCCCAGTTGGAAAGCATTCAGCACATCCAGTGTTTGTGAGCACATGATTTATTCCATTATTTCGGGATCCAGGAAAGGCCGTGCCTTAATTACAACAGCATGTGCAGAATTGCAAGGAGCCAGCTCCCTCCGATCCTCCAGGAAAACATTTCTTTTCCTAACACAACCAGCGCTTTTCACATTTCACAGTGAAAAATTTAGGGATTTAGGGACTGCTCTAAAGTGACCAAGCCAAATCTCAGCTTGGGAAGGACATCAGGACACCACAGGGACACCCAAAATGTCCCTGCAGCTCCACTTCCAGAACATCCAGGCAAGAGCTGCTCTGGAGGGGATTTTCAGGCACATAAGGGAGAAATTAGAGAGCCACAGCTCTGTTATGGTTTGTGGCAACAGCAGCTGGAATTGCCTGTTTGCAACAATTAAAAGGCTGGAGCTGTGCCAGGGGACTTGGGATGGATTTTGGAAAAGGTTCTTCCCCCAGAAGGTTCTGGGGCACTGACCAGGCTCCCCAGGGGATGGGCACGGCCCCGAGAGCTCAGGAGGGTTTGGATGCCACTCTCAGGGATGCACAGGGTGGGATTTTGGGGTGTCTGTGCAGGGCCAGGGGCTGGGCTGGATAATCCCTCCCAGCTCAGGATATTCCATGACTCTACACAAAGTCAGTTTGCAGATGAGATGATAAAAACAAAGCCCACATTTGCTATTAACACTCAAATTCAGCTGAATTCACTTCTAATTTCCCCAAATATTTCAGGTTCAGAGAGGCACAAACACAAAAGGAACAAGACACAGAAAATAACAAATGCAAACAAAGCTCAGGAGTCCCAGGTCAGAGTCACTCTGAGCTGTCTCAAGGCCATGGATTTGTCACCCAAATGCTGTTGATTCAATAATAGAGACAGAATTTCCAGGTCTTGATCCCTGCAGCCCTTCACCTTCCATCATCACCTCCATTTCCAAGAATAACAGACAAGTTTCACCCCGATTTGCAGACTAATAAGAAAATCCACTCTAGGGTTTGTTACAAACTCTGCTTCCTGGTCAAAGACCAAAACATCCCTGTGTGTTCAAGATGCCTCAGCACAGTTTATATTTCCTAATCCTAAATTTCCGTGGCACTGGGAATGATGCAGATGCTGCCTGAACAATCCCAACCACCTTCAATAAAATCAAACCACAAACACAACTTGAATTTCTACGACAACAACATGTCCCTGCCACTCAGGGAGGTGAAGGAGGAAAATTTACCATTTTTTAATTTACCATTTAGCAGTAATTCCATTTATTTTGAAAACAAACATTTTGTACTGTTGTTTCCCCCCACCAAAAAAAAATGTTTGCACAAGTGAGAAAAACAAGAAGTCAATCCATGAACACTCCTGTGGTTAGAAGCCAACACTAACAACTCGCCACATCAGAAATCCGTGTCAACAAACAATATCCACATTCCACCAGGGATAAAAACCCAATCAGCATGAAAGGCTTGAGTCTCAGGGATAAGAAAGAGGCTGCACAACACATCCAAGGATGCTTGGGGTGATCCATCTCACCAAACATAAAACCTGCACCTCAACACGGTGCTGGTTTGGAGTCAGGTCTGTACGAGTTTCCCACAAACCTGTTCCTTTTTTTTTTTTTTTTTTTTTTTTAATTCCTGGCAAGGCATTTAACTGTGCAAAATTGCCTTGCCAGCGACAGATGTGAGTACAAAGAGAAGCGATTTGCTACAAAAGGATTAATACATTTTGAAAGTTACTGTCTGGCAAACTGTCAGAGGGACTTTTATTGGTTTATTTAATTCTGGCTGTCGCTAAGCCCAGTGGCACGCAAGCAGGGAGCAGAACGATGTCAAACACCCCAGCTCCGGTCACCCAGCTGCCTCTGGCCACCACAGAGGTCATTTCAAAGTCCAGCCCTGCTCTCCTCCAGCACTCCCAGCTCAGCATTTGGCCACTGACCATCTGTCACCCCTTTGGCCACTGACCATCCCTGTGGTCACCAAGGTTTGACAGAGCTGTCTGACCACCAAGTGCTTGTCACCTGCTCAAACAGGGACTGTGACACCCCTCTGACCACTGACCACTTCACAGCCGTTTGACCAGGGACCGTGACATCCAGTGGATGTGACAGTCGCTATCTGAGCGCAGCCCCTGCACCTGCTTGACCACTGACCACTCGTCTGACCACCAACATCTGACACTCATTGGACCACTGACCATCCCACACCCGTTTGACCAGGGATTGTCTGACCTCGAGGATTTGACAGCTGCAGTCTGTGCACAGCCCCTGGCACCGTTCGACCCCGGCCACTTGTCACCCATTTGACCACTGACCATTCCAAACCCCTTTGGCCACTGACCATTCCAAACCCCTTCAAGCACTGAGCCCTTGTCCCCCATTTGACATTCACTTGACCACCAAGCACTTTGTCACCTATTTGACCATTTGATATTCATTTGACCACCAAGCACTTACCACTTGTCCCCCATTTAACCACTGACCATTTCACACCCATTTGACCACTGGTCCCCCATTTAACCACTGACCATTTCACATCTGTTTGACCACTGACCATTCATCCCCCATTTAACCACTATTTCACCTCCGTTTGACCACTGATCATTTCACACCCGTTTGACCGCTGGTCCCCCATTTAACCACTGACCATTTCACACCCGTTTGACCACTGACCACTAATCCCCCATTTAACCACTGACCGTTTCACACCGGTTCACCCAGGTCCGCCTGTCACCCGTCCGACCCCCGGGGATCTGACACCCGTCCTCCCCCGGAGCGTTGCCAGCCGCGCTGCCCGCGGACTCTCGCCCCGGGCCGCCGGGCCCGCCCTGCCCTGCCCCGCCGTGCCCGGGCGCTCCGCGGCCTCCCCGGGCGCGGTGACAGCTGTGCCCGCCCGTCCGCACCGCCCGGGCCGGGGGCACCGCGGCAGCTGCGGGCGGTCCCGCCGGGGGCACGGGGGGACCCCGGGCCGCGGTCGATGCAGCCCCGAGCCCGCGGCGGGGCCGGCCGGGCCGCCCGCCATGTTCGCGGCGCTGCCGGAGCCCGGCCCGGCCGAGCCCGGCAGGTGTCCCGGGGATGCTGCGAGCGCCGCCCGGCCCGCGGAGCGCAGCCCGCAGCGAGGGCCGGGGCCGCGGCCGCTCACCCGAAATCCTGGTCCATGGACTTGAAGAAGAACTTGTAGCTGTGCACGGGCCGGTTGCTGAGGACATTTTTGAAATCGGCCAGCGTGACTTTCTCCGGCGGCACGGGCAGCTTCACCAGGTACGGCGTCTCCTCCTCGTCGATGTGGTAGATGATCTTGGTCTCCGCCATGGGCGAGCGGCGCGGGGGCGGCCGGGCCGGGCCCGGGCCGGCGCTCGGCGCGGCGGTCGGCCTTGCCCACAGGAAGGCGGCTGGCGGCGGGGGCTGGCGCTCCCTGCACTGCTCTCTAGCTGCCCGACCCGGGAACGGCAGCGCGCCCGCCCCGCCCGCATCCTCCGGCCGCCCGCCGGCCCCGCTGCGCCACCGCCGCCGCCGCCGCCGCAGCGCTGCCCCGGCCGGGCGGGCGGGCCCGGCCTGACCGGCAGCGGGGCGGGCCCGGCCTGAGCGGCAGCGGGGCGGCCCCGGGCAGCGCCCTCCGCCCGCGCCCGCCGCGGCCCCGCACAGCGCCCGCACACCGCCCCTGCCGGCCCGGCGGCGGCACGGCCCGGCCCGCGGCGAGGGAGGCTGCGGAGGGGATGGGATGGGATGGGGAGAGGGTGGGGTGGGAAAGGGAAGGGGGGTAAGGAAAGGGATGGGATGGGGATAGGGGAAAGCGATGGGGATGGGGAGAGGGGAGAGGATGGGGTGAGAATAGGATGGGGATAGGGGAAAGCGATGGGAATGGGGAAAGGGGAGAGGATGGGATGAGAAAGAAGATGGGGATAGGGAAGTGGATGGGAAAGGGGATGGGGAAAGGGGAGAAGATGGGATGAGAAAGAGGATGGGGATAGGGAAATGGATGAGAATGGGGAAAGGGGAGAGGATGGGATGAGAAAGAGAAAGAGGATGGGGATAGGGAAGTGGATGGGATGGGAAAGGGGATGGAGAAAGGAGAGAAAATGGGATGAGAAAGAGGAAAGGGATAGGGAAAAGCGATGGGAAAGGGGAGAGGATGGGGTGAGAAAGAGGATGGGGATAGGGAAATGGATGGGATGGGAAAGGGAATGGAGAAAGGGGAGAGGATGGGATGGCAAAAGGAAAGGGGATAAGGAAAAGGATGGCATGGGGAGAGGGGAAAGGGATGGGAATGGTGACGAGGAGACGGGAGAGGATGGGATGAGAAAGAGGATGGGGATAGGGAAAAGGATGGGATGGGAATGGGGATGGGAATGGGGAAAGGGAGAGGAAAAGGGATTGGGAATGGTGATGAGAGGATGGGATGAGGAAGAGGATGAGGATGGGGAAAGGGAGATGATGGGATGGGGAAAGGAAAGGGAATGGGAATAAGAATGGGGATGGGATGGGATGGGGATAGGGAAGACTATGGGACAGGAAAGGGAAAAAAAATGGGGATGAGGAAAGGAGAGAAGGAGGGTCCATGGTGCTGGTTTGAATCACCAGGAATCACCAATTTAGGGCACTTGAAAGAGTCTTTTTCAAGAGTTATTTATATTTAAATACATTTCTTTCCAAAATAGCCAAGTGTTTCTCACTCAGTTTTGGAATTAGGAGAATAACAGAGATTTCTATAAAAATATGAGTTCAGCTTTCTGTCCTACCAGGCTCTGCAAGCACCCCGGAGTGCTCCTGGCATGGGAAGTGCACCACGAATGCATCAGTGGGAAATTTCCCTTTGGTGGGATCATAACTCTGCCATGAGCAACATTTTCTGAGCTCCTGAGCTTTATGGTGTTCTTGCAGCATGAAACTCGGGCAAAACATTAACATTTGGTCCCCTCAGTTGGTACTTTATGACCTCCTGGGCTCCTCAGGTGCCCTCCCTGAACCTGCTGAGAGCTGTTCTTGCTCCCTGAGCTTCCCTTTCACTCCTGACAGCTGGAAATAATAATTGTCAGCTGATTACCCCACAGCAGAGCCATCAGGCTGGCTCTGGGACTCACAAAAAGCTCCCCAGAAAGCACAGAAGAGAGGAGATAACTTTCATGCTGCAGTCAAGGCAGCAGCTAATCCAATTAAAGAGAGGACACAGGAAAGCAGGATACACCCCTGGCCCAGCAGGGCTAAAACCTCGTGTCCAGCACAGCTCAGGCCTTAACACTTCAGCAAAAAATAAATAAGAGGCACGAAATCTCCTGCTAACAGCGTTGTGCTCTCTGTGATAGAGGGAATAGTCCTGCAGGGAGCAGAGGGATAAAAGCTGCTCACCCTTTTCTTCATTTTCACAGCAGTTACCACACAGGGAATAAGCAACCCCTTTAAAAAAGCTATATTTTAAAACCCTTCTAGAATTACAGCAATGCCTGTTGCGTGTCTCAGAGCTCTTCCCATTCTGGGTGCTCAGCAGAGCTTCTGACCTAAACTACTGCCCCAAGATGGTTTTGGTTTAGGCACTTCTAAATTTTTACTGGAGAATCTCTAAAACAATTCTTGAGCACATTACCTCAATATTCCATGGGGAAATAACGGAACCCTCTGTTCTTGGGCAAAAATTTTGCCAATATTTCACAAAATAAGGGTGTGAAAAGATGGGACAAAAGGGAAAACAAAGCTCTGAGCACCTGCCCAGAGGTGTCCTGGGTAGTTCTCACATCAAGGATTTCTCTGTAAAGTAACCAAATTTCACTTTGAGGATTGTTGGCAAGATTGGCATAGATGCAGAAGATGAACTAAAGATGGAAATGATCCCAGAACAGAATGAGAAGCAGAGAGAATTTCAACTTCTCCTGGATCTGGTCTGCAAGATCTGCAAGGTTTTTTCTATTTTTATTTTCCCTCTGTGTGCAGTCACTGACAGGGAAATGGAGACATTAAACACTAGAGGGAAGCAAAAGACTTTGCAGTAACCTCTGCAAAGCTCCCCGGGGCTTAAATGTAATCAACATTTATTTGTGTTTTAGGTCCTCTGGACCTTTTATATCTAAACCTCTTAGATAGAAAAGATTTAAGTTTAAATATACAAAAAGTTTAAGGTATAAAAATAAAAGTAGTTACAAAGGAACAAAGAGTTTAGAATGCAGAAAACTGTAGGTTTGTGTGTCATAGCATGATTGGCTAAGAAAGCTCACACTGTAAGTCCATAAGATGAAATATTTAAGGATTGGGTCAAAAACATAAATATCCTTGTTGGCAATGTTTTATCCTTAAAAAGTCTTATAACTAAGGGTCTTGTGACCCTGTGAGCCGTGCAGTGAGGATGTGAGCTGAACTCACCCTTCCTGCCTGTGTAGAAGATAAGAAAAATAAATCTTGGTATCAAAACCAACTCAAAGATCTCATCTCTAATTCCTTCCAAAATCCCCCCCAGAAGTGAATTATCCCAATATCCTGCCTTGATCCTTGCAATCCTTGTCCCTGCAGTGTGCAGGAGCTTTTTCCATCAGTGTCCCTGGGAGAACTCTGCCCTGCCAGCTGGGGAAGTGCTCAGGGGCTGGAAGTGCTCCAGGAGCAGAATGTGCAGCAGGAACTTCGCAAGGTGTTGGTCCTGCAAGGAAAAGAGGAATTTGGGCTGGCAGGGAGATGTAAATTCCAGCAGGAAATGTTATCTTCCCTTCTGGACCTCCAAAATGAAATGCTCTGGAAGGGCTGCCAGCCTTCCTCTCTGCTGGATGCTTTGAGCTCCATCTCCAGCTGCAGATTTGTTCCTTATACAACATTTCTGGAGAGCTGAAATTCCTCTGGGGCCCCATGACCCCATCAAATAATGATGTCCCAGGTGGAAATTTTATTGGAATCTCTGGATTAATTTACTGGATCCAATCTGCACTTTGTCAGGCACTTCGGGATGCTCTGAGATGAAACAACCCTGCACAGTTATTGGGAAGAATTAGCTAATGCTGGCTGAGAGAACACCTCCAAAAGGGCAAGAAATAAAATCACCCTGAGCTGGAAAGTCCATTTATTCTCCTTTATTTCTTAAATGTTTGGAGAGTTCTACCAATGGTAAAAATTAAGCAACAATAATAATGAGAATTAATTCTGTTACAACAAAGGAAAGAACAAGATTTATGGAGGAAGTTCTTAGGCTGGAGAGTGTTCACAGAGCTGAAAAGAGGGTATTAGTTGTAGTCTCAATTTTAACCCCTTTTAAGGTCACTGCCAAGCACCATTTCCTTGTCCCACACCAAGAGCTCATAATCCGTTTATTACCCTAAAGAACTTGGATTTCTCTGCCCTCATCGAGGCAAAGTTCTCACTGAGGGGCAACTGCTGTACAAATACTGGGGAAGATTATTATTAATATTATTATTATTATTTTAACTAATTGAATATAAAATCTATGTCTCAGGAAACCAGAGAGACTGTGATGGGGAAAGAAGGTAAAGAAGTTTATCAAAGTGCAGCAATTCATTGGCACAGAGAGAAAATTACTTTGAATAACCCAGGCCAAGTGCTAGACACACATCAAACAAGTGTTTCTCCACAAGAGGCAAGTCCCAGATTAGGGAGAGAAAAGGACAGAGAAAACCAAATTGTTTGGGAAGAGGGAGCAGTGCTCCTGCCCAGCCCAGGGGAGAATTCCATGTGGAAACCTCTCATTTCCATGGATTTCCCAGCAGTGCCACAGACTGAGAATGCAGGATTCTCACCAGGATTTCAGGGCAAAGAGCCTTGGTTCATTCCTCTGCATTAAGAAATAACAACAACAACAAAAAAAATTGCAGTTGTTTTTGGGGTTTTTTTCCCTCTTGGTTACCCAGCCCTTGCCTGGCTCTCTCTCAGCCAGAATTTTAATTTGCTAAATTACAGAGTGGCTGCTGGTGGTGGAAGCCACAGTGGTGATCTCCAGGCCAATCACACAACATTCCTCTCCTGAAGGAAAAAGGGCCAGAATCCCATCCCACCCTGTCCTTACCAGGGAGGGTTAACCTGGGCCAGAATTCCATCCTGATCAGGGAGGGTTATCCTGGGCTAGAATTCCATCCCATCCCATCCCATCCCCAACTGGCAGCCCTGACCATTACCCAAACCCAGTGATCAAAGCAAAGATGAGGAACTCACAGAGCCCTTCCCAGCCCTTGTTTCAGAGAATATATTCATTTTTGCCTTCCTTCAGCTATTCTGCAGCCCAGGAGTCAGACAAAATGCTGAAATGCCTCTGGAGTTTATGAGTAACCCCACTCTGAGCTGTGCTGAGCAATTGGAGCTGGCAAGGAAAAACCTCCAACCTTTGACTCACAGACTTGAAAGGGAGGGAGAGAGACTTTAATGACAATTATTTGAGGCTGTGCCACCCTGATGGAATAAGCAGCACAGCCTCCTGCACCTGCAGGAATGCAGCCTGGCTTTCAGGGCAGGGTAAAAATCCCTCTCTGCTTCAGGGGAAGGGCAAAAAGGGGCTTGGGATCAACCCCAGACCTTCCTCTGGGCACTTTTTGGGGTGGATGGTCAGTGAGGATAAAGGTGATTAATTACAAATCACAGAAGAACCTGTGGAGAGCAGTTTCTTTAATTTCTTGGCCCTTCCTGTTCTATTATTAATATTTTTACTGCTTGGAGGCATTGAAAATAAGGCCCCCCAATACAATTATTCTTTAACACAGCCCCCAGTAACAGACATATTAACAGCTGGAAAAATGCCCATGCTCTATTTGTCATTAAAAGTGCATTGTTGTGACATCCCAGCTCGTGAAGAGCCAGCACAGCCCCTCTGGAGGCCTAACCCACCACGTTTTGGGCAGAGCTGAGCTCAGCTTTTGAGGAGCCATGCCACAGCCAGCAGAGATCCCTGTGCCCGTGGCAGGAGGGACAGGGGGGCTGGAATGGGATTTAGTCAGACAAGATACCCAAATTGGCAAGAAAAGCGACCTGGAGATGCTGCCCCAGCTCCATTCACACAAACCCCCCCTCTGCCACTCCCTCCAGGCCACCAAACAGAGGGATGGCAATCCCTGGCCACCCTCACCCTCACCAAGTCCCTGTCACCACCCTCCCAACAGCAGGAAACCCTTTTTCCTTCCATGCCCCAAGAACTGATCTTATTTACAGCTTTCCTGACGTTTGGACCTGCTTGCATTACAACATTGAATCACTTCCTATTTTTTGGCAGCCCCACCTGACAGTGCTCATAGGCAGAACCCCCCTCCAGGAATCCACTCCAAATCCATGGGAATGGACTCATCCCCATCCTGGATTTCCTTTCTGAGCCCCTGGTCCATGACAATTCCTGCTGTTCCTCCTGGAACCATCTCCCTGTGCTGGGTCCTACCTTTGGTTTGCTGTGCTCTGTGTGGCCTGGATCCACCCCAGGGCTGCAGAAAAATCCCATCCCAGCTTCCACCTAGGGCTGAGCTCAACCTTCCTGCACAACATTCCTGGTCCTGATCTACCTGAGACTGGCATTTACAGCACTGTGACTGCAGCCACCAAATGCTCCTGCCAAATCTGCTCTGGGCTGTGCTGAAAAACAGAAACAAATCAACAAAAACGGGGTGAGAAATGCAGAGTTCAGCTCTGAGCTGAGCCCTCAGCCATTGGTGTGCTTCCCTTTCCCTGGAAAATGAGGATACTGACATTTCCCCACTGATAAAAGGAGGTTTGGGGAGGGCTGTGCTCTTTGTGCTTCACCTGGGAGGTGCCAAGTTCTGTGTGAAATGATTTTTGCCAGCCTGGGACAGGGATCAGCTTTTGTCATTGTTATCCTGATGGATCCACCACATGGAAAAATGCCTGGTGTAATGATGGCTCAGGAATAGCAATGCAGGTGGTTTTATTTAAAGCAATAACAGCAAAGCAAAACCTCTGCTGATTCAGCTCATAAAAATCATTGATGCATAAAATCCAACAATAATTGTCAAGAAAGAAAAGGGGGAGGGAGGATTGGGAGAACAGAGGAAGAAAAGGCAACCCAACCCCATAAATGCACACAAGACAGTTTAACTCTTGCATGAAGCATTTGCACCCTTGTGTGGGGTACAGAAAAAGTGGATGTGGAAAAAGTTCTGTGGGAACTGGAGGGAGATGGAATTAAGAAAAGGCATCTCTCTTCCACGTTATCTATCTTGGATGGAAGCTTCTGGTCCAGCCAGCAGCTTGGCAGTGTCTTCATTTACAATATTCCTTCCTGAAATCTGAAAGAAATGGAAAAGGGGGAGTCAGCACCTGGAGAGAGATTTCAAACCATTGAAAGAAGCACAAAAA